AGGAAGCGTGTTTCGCATTTAACGCGATCTTGAAATACATGGGCGACCTGCCAACGAAAAGACCGCGTATCGGTAACGAGTATACCGATCTTATCTTCGACGGGCCACTGAAAAACGAAATTCTTCGAGATGAAATTTATTGTCAAATCATGAAACAGCTGACTGACAACCGGAACAGACTGAGCGAAGAACGTGGCTGGGAGTTAATGTGGCTCGCCACCGGCCTTTTCACTTGCAGCCAAAGTCTCTTGAAAGTAAGGCATTTCGTTCAAACAATATTCATAACGCTGACCCGCCGTTCGTGAATACGCTCATTTACGATCATTTCACCAGGAACTGACTCTGTTTCTACGCACGAGACGACATCCCATATCTCAGGACTCGTTGCAGAGGCTACAAAAAACCTTACGTAACGGTCAACGAAAATACCCTCCGCACCAAGTAGAAGTAGAAGCTATACAGCACAAAACGACGCAAATATTTCACAAAGTTTACTTCCCCGACGATACGGATGAAGTGCGTATGCTTCGAGTGATTATTTCAATTTTAAAGGCAATCGTGAAATTCCACGAAATTACTTATCTTAATTTATTTCTCTGTGCACAGGCGTTCGAAGTGGATTCGTCGACTAGGGCTAAAGACTTTTGTCAAAACATAGCGCAAAGATTGAACTTACGTTCTGCAGAAGGATTCAGTCTGTTCGTGAAGATTGCCGATAAGGTTATCTCAGTCCCGGAAGGAGATTTCTTCTTTGATTTTGTGCGACATTTGACAGACTGGATAAGAAAAGCTCGACCGTCTCGCGATGGTACATGTAGTTTTTATGATTATTCGTTATACAAAAATGCAACGAAGATCACCGCAAGATTTTCGTATATTTTGCCTAGGTGTGTCAGCACAGTTTACGTATCAAGTATTTTTCATGAAGAAATTATGGACCAACACCGTTCCCGGTAAAGATAGAAATGCAGATCTCATTTTCCACTTTCACCAGGAGCTTCCTAAATTGTTAAGAGGTAACACTTGCGTTTCATTTCTGTAACATTTTTTGTCATGTACCAATTCTGATCACTTTATGCAACTCACTTTATAGGCTACCATAAATGTACCAAGGAAGAAGCCTCCAGATTAGCTGCGTTAGTGTACAGAGTTCGTTTTGGTGAAAGCAAACAGGAACTTCAAGCGATTCCGTAAGTTAAATACGCGCTGTAATATTCTCT